CCTCTATTAAAACTTAGAGTTAGGGTGTTGCTTTAAGATAAATAGAGATTTTTATATAAAATAATTTTTTTAAATAACATAATATAGATCAGGTATCAGGTCCTGATCTTAGTTCTCATAAGGTTTTCAGGGGTTCTGGACATTTTTACTTAATGAGATTCTTAACCACTAGTACGAAATAAAAATGACCTTAAAATTTTATTATTTTTGATATATAAAAATATTTTAATAAGTTTATTATATTAATATTTTATAATAATATTTTAAATATTTATTATATAATAATGATTTGACAATTAGTTAAAGTTAGATTAATTAAATTTTTATAAAAATAAATAAAATTAATAGAAATTTTTAAAAAATATTATTTATTTATAAAATAAAATAAAATAATTAATTAATGATATTATTATTATTTAATTTATTATTATTATAATAATATAATTTAATATTTTTATTTAATCTATTATTATAAGTATTAATTAAATTTTCTAATTCTTCTAAATTTTTTAATTCTTCTAAATTTTCTAAATTTTCTGATTCTTCCAAATTTTCTAAATTGTTTATATTTGTAGAATAGTTTTTTAATATTTCTAATACAAATTTAGAAATATTATTATAATCATTTAATTCAGAATCTGAAAGTTTACTAAGTTCTTCTAAAATATAATCAGGAATTCGATGATGTGATTTATATTTTTTAACAATATAATCAGCTAATCTTCTTTTAAAACCTTTTTAATATAAATTCATAAATCTCCAAGATCGTTGTTCATATTTTCTTATAGAGCTTAAATTAACAGATATTAATACAATTAGAATATTATTTTTTAAACTTGGCAAAGAATATCCATAATTAGCTCTAATAGAATTTTTCACTGCTCCCCAATATTGTTCTATAAAATTTAGTTCACAATGAAATTTTGGATAAAAAATACACAAATGTCCAGCTTTTGTAATAAATTCTTCTAAAATATATTTTTGATTTAAAAAATCAGGTTGTAAAGATAAGATTCTTCTTGCACAACATTTAGTTCTAGCTGGATCAAAATTTTTAGTTTTACAATCTGCACAATCTAATACATAATTTTGATCCCACAATCCACATTCTTTTAAAACATCTTCAATTCCTTTTGGTATTTGATTTTGATCTACTATTTTTTGAATTTTAGTTAGATCATTAGGATTATATTAAATATCTCTCATTTTATATTTACTGCCTGGCTCTTTATTCATTCTTTTAGCAACAAAAGCATCATTTGCATATTTTAAATATATAGGACTATTATCAAAAGCAAATAATCCTATATAACCTGAAAATTCTTCTTTAAATTTTTTAATCATATTTTTAATATATTGCATAAATTGATCACAATTCTAATATCCATCATTATTTTTTCTAGGTTGAAATATTTGATAGCTTGGTAATCCTTTTTTAGATGTTATATTTGCACAAATCATTAATAATAATTGTGGACCCTTTTTTTTTTATAACAATTTTTTGTCTATATACATGTAATTCCTTCTTTAGTTGTGCATATACATTCATCTTGAAAGCAATATACAATTTTTTTTATCATTATAAAGTCTTCTAGGTGGTATTATAATTTTCATATTATTACCAGTATATATTGTCATATATTGTTCATACTTTTTCATCATTGCTATAAATTTTTGACAATATAATTTCTTTTATGCCCATTCCAATATATTCTTATTTAAAAATAATTATTTAAATACTATATATTTTATTATTTAAATAAATTATATATAATAATTTTTTTTTTTTTTTTTTTTTTATTATTAAGGTGTTCTTCGGGACCGAGCTTTATTGATGTTTAACTGTTGACCACATAGGTCTTACATTTAGTATTACAACAAGAGTACAACTAGCCACACGTACAACTTTTGGTTGCCTATTTAAGTAGTCCACCCAAAGGTTCTACACTAGATGCCATGCCTATAATCCGACTAGGGGATTATCTATTTAAACCCTCTGATCGTATATACCCACCAATTATTCTAAGCCAGGTATCTTTATACCGAAGTGCCCCCCACTCACTTACCTGAGTTTGGTTACCCCACTGGTTTCCCTAGGGTCCCCACAAGTGGGCGTAGTGGCTGCCTCCCTAATTCTTTTATGTCCCACACATTTCTAAATTAGGTTCAGAGAACCTGTCTGCTATGGCCGAAATCAACACTAGCAGTCAGGGATAACCATTAAACCACACAATTCCTGGTTCCTCTACTCTTATAAGGTTTGTTCCAATCCTGATACCTACATCTATCTTCCTTCCGATCCTTATACTGATCCCTTCCAAACTTCCAAACCAGTTAGCCTGGATAGGTTGATATATCTAGACTTTAAGTGTCCGATGGTTCCCTTCCTTTGGTTCCTAATTCTGCAGCATAGAACCTTTTCCTCTGATATGACTCTGGTAGCCAGGTTGGTAAACCCTTCTTGCCTTAGGATTATTTGTCTAGTTTTTTGATTTCCGGTTTTCAGGCTTCCGGCTTCTGTAATATCGTCAAAGATCTTCACTATCTCCTTGCTCGGGTCTTTCCAAATGGGTTTCAATTATTCCGGTTCCTTGGCTTTGTCTGTATGATATCACACAACTTCACCCAAAAGCTCCCATCAAGATGGTGGTACCAAGGTTACAGGTAGTACACCCTACCGATCATTGAATAAATATTACTGAAACAAATCTTATTTTTCAAAATCGTCGCCAGTGGGATTTGAACTCTAGACCTGCCATTTGGAGTGGTAACAACTTACCAACTTCACTAAGTTACCACACCCCCAAATTTTATTTTAATCTGTGATATTTATTACTATATTATTATTATTTTACTACTATTTTATTATACTTTACTACAGTACAGGACACTTAGAAACGATAATAAAAATAGCTAATTTTTAAAAGCTAATAGCTCATGCTACAAAAATAATATAAAAAAAAACAGAAGCTGCTATTTTGTAGCTAAGATAATTTACTACAAAATAGCGGTCTTGTTTTTAAAAAATAATTATTTGTTATTGAGTTATTAGAGTTTAAAAATATTGTATTTTTATATAAATGACCCAAAATGGGACATATAGCAAAAAAATTAATGATCTATTTTTTTATTTTATATAAAAAATATAATATTTATAATTTTAAAACAATAATTTAAATTATATTTTAGCTTATAATTTTAGTAACTTTTAGTTATTAATAATATAAATTTATATAATTATTTTTTTATTAATACGTCTTTTTTGTTAAACAACCAATCAAATTATAGAAAATTTAACCAATCAAAATTTAGTAAATTAAAAAGATCAAAAATCAACTTTTTAAAAGATTTAAAATTTTAAAATTTTGAAATCTCAAAATGGGACATTTCCATCTCTAAGTGTCCTGCACTGTATAATTTTATTAATTTTTTTTAAATTTTTTATAAAACAACTATTTTATTATATTTTTATTATAATTTTATTAAAATATTTTATAAAATTATAGTAAAAGTATGGTAAAATAGTAGTAAAATAGTAGTAACATAATAGTAAACAGTAGTAGATATATTGTTAACTTATTTTTTTAATATTAAGATGACTATTTAAAGTTTGATATATTTTATTAGCTTCGATTCAAATGCTAAGGTAGCCACATAGACCATCATTGACTTTGTTATATTAACAAAAATATAGTTAGCTATATGTATAACTTTAGTTATAACTTATTTAAAGACTCCATTATATATATTACTATCTATAGTTATCTACTACTTGCTATATCTAAGATTTATCTATAGATTTTTTATTTAAATCTTTTGATCAACTTAGTATTATCAGATATTCTCTCAAAGAAGAATTGCTATAAAAACCCTTAGAACTTTAAAGCAAATACATACTTTTATATTGTTACAAAGTAGATTTTTAGTATAGATTTTATTAAACATTATTTAGTTATTTTTAGTTATTATTATTCA